TTTTTTTTTTTTTTTTTTTTTCCGAATCTCCTTAAATAAATTCCTGGTTTCAGAACTGCTTATACCCATTACCCAAACATTTTGTGATATTAAATTTCTGGAATCATTGGTTAGTTAGAGTAATTGGTGTATAAAAAGTACTTGCTTGAAGAACTAGAAGTTAGCACCCAACGGTATCTTAGTGGTCAATGAAGTGGGTGCAAACCTTGGAGACCCGAGCTCAAATCCCACAAAGATAAAAATACCAAGTGATTTCTTTCTATCCACCTAAGACTTGGTGGACAAAGCTAACCGGTACCTGTCCTGGTGGGAGGTAGCAAGTATCTGTGGGAAGAGTCGAGGTGTCACAAGCTGGACCGGACTCCACCATTATAAAATTTAAGAATATACAGTTCTTAAATCTAGAAGCCTTGTATTTGAGTTGTACCAGTCTTATAGAGGTAGTTGGCAATTCTAGGCTGAAGGTGCAGTATAGCAGGTAGTAGGGGCGAAAATGATAGATAAGCCATTCACCATTCTTTTGATATGTTTTTCTTGCCTTGAAAATACATTCAATTGAACTCGTACTCAGTGGAGATCGCAAGCTCGGCGTTCTTGGCAAAGTAGTAACATATCCGAAGGATATATCAACATCATAGTTATAATATAATGTTACCTTTCTCAAAGAACATCATAGTTGTAATGTATTGTCGGAATGCCTGGATGCAGTAGTTACCATGTTCGCTTTAGTTAATCGATTCTGCAATTATTTGATGTTTAGTTGCTTACCGTCTTTTATATGTTCACTGTGTTTGAGTACTTGCAATATGTTAGTGTGTTGACAGATTTTCTCTGAATCGTCGTGCTAAAGATTTTTAGTACTTTGAAACTGTGATTAGAAATGGCTTTGGGTGGAGGTGGACCACAAAGGGGAACTGCAGCAGCTGCTGCTGCTAACCTGCGTCGAAGGAAGACCGCTGGTGGTGGTGGAGCTGCAGGAGGAGCAGGTGGTAACATGCTCCAATTCTACACTGATGATTCCCCCGGACTCAAGATATCCCCCAACGTTGTGCTTGTGATGAGTATTGGCTTCATTGCTTTTGTCGCGATCCTTCATGTCATGGGTAAGCTTTACTTTGTCCGCAGAGAGGCCTAGAGAAATTCACATATCTCCTAGAAAATTCAGACATCTCATTGCTGAGTTGGGGAATTTTGTTGGGCAACAGCTTTGTTCATTGAAGGAAAACTGACATTGTAGCTTTATTTTCTTTTTGTTTGTCTATGGTATGAAGTTTATAAAAACGTTTTCTAGTTATGAGTCGACTCTTTCTAGCCTGTGTTCCAGTGTCTGATGAATAGGACTGCGCCTAATTCTTGTTTCTTAAACCTTTAATGGAATCATGTTGCAAGTATAGCTTTAGCGAAATGATTTCTTTTACTTGATGCATGATGCAGCTAATGCTTCCTCTTTGTGTATTGACGAGGGTGATCAAATGTATTGTGACCTATGACTGTCCTCAGCTGTTATCGGTTCAGAATTGAACTGAGTTATTCTTTTCCGTTGTTCCTCATCAGCAAAGTCTGGCAAACAGTACTGGGTTTAGAGTTGCATCATTTCGTCAAATGGGTGAAGATCAAAGACAATTATGTTAAATGATCTCAAAAGAGTTGAAGGAGACGCTCAAACTTCATATTAATTCTACTCCTTGACCCTTTAGGGTCAATATTTATGAAAAAATGAAAATGAAAGACAAGCAATTGAAAACTATATGGTACTACTAATTAAGCTGATTATTTAAGACGTATTGACAAAAATATCACCAAATTCAGCTAACCTCTCTACTCCCTTGGGGTAGGGGTAAGGTTTGCATACACAATTCAGCTAACCTCTCTACTCCCTTGGGGTAGGGGTAAGGTCTGCATACACATTGTAATTCGCTAAATAATAGCAAGGTTGGAAAAAAGGGTACATGCAGTATATAATACAACCATAAGCTAGAAGCACCAAGTTTTAGAGAGATCTAAATAACCTAAATAGCGATCTATAACTTCGGTTTTGGAACTGCTAGGCACTTGTATTATAAATTCCAACTTAATAAACATGTTGCGCTAGTCAAAGATTGGAGTTTTAAAGTAACAGGCCTCCTTTCCTGGTTCACTTCTCACATAAATCGCTGCACAGACAAATATAACGCACTTTATATACTGCAAAGATCTGATCTTAGCACATTCATTTATAGTCTATTAACACCTCCAAACACTTCCATGGAGCAGCAAAACATACTTGTTAAGATATAAGAGTAGCCAAATATTACTGCATTGCCATAAGCAAAAATAGGTAAAATAGAAAGAACTTCAAGCTGAGCTCGGGGGAACTGTTGCTTCTTCGACACTTATGCCGTGTATTGTAGGCTCCTTGTTGTTCGAGGTCATAGGCTGATCAGCACCACCATCACCTTCCTCCTCAGTCGAGAATTCCTCGACATCAGCTTCAGTAGGAAGCATGTATATCTCCAGGCCATAGATTTTGGGGTCAAAAGTGGGATCTTTAGCCTTGATTTTCTCTATGGCTAGCTTCACCCCATTTCCCATGTAAGGAGCAGCATACTCCATGAGTTCCTGTCTATGCAAGGAGGAAGCCTTGTATTTTTGGATAGCAGCTGGACCGGCCTCCTCCAACTCCTTTTTCAGCTCAACGATCTTCTGGTGAAGGATTGTTTGGACCCGCAAAAGTGACTCCTTCTCACCAGTCAGAGCGGTGATCGTGTTTGCAGCTCCAGCTAACTCATGTTCAAGCCTCTCCTTCTCCTTCTCAGAGTTCTCGAGCTTCCGATTGGCTTCTGCCAACTTATCTTTCAAAGGGGCCATCACATTTTTCAGGTCATCACTCGCTTTTGCCGCTTCATTATACTTGGCAGTGGCTTCTTGAAGGCGTTTAGACTGAAGACAAAAATAGTTGATACCCTATAAAAAGGGGGAAAAAGCGGTCAAGAAAGATAACAGTAGAGAAAAGAAACAAAGGTGAAAGGAGAGGCTAACTTCATCAAGAAAAAGGAGAGAAACTGACCTCATAGAAGTGACGAAGCCCCTCTTCCGTGACCTCTTGATCCATCTTCTTATTCGCGACAACCCGTTCCCACATCTCGATTGTTGAGTGCAGAAGATCAACGGGTTGAATGTAAGGCTGCTCCTCCTCAGCAAGTTGCAAGCTAGGGAGCACTGAGCTGTCTGATAATGGAGCTGAAAGAGTGGAGGTCGAAGGAGCACCAGTTATGGGAACACTGCATGGCTTAGACTCTCCATAATTCTGTTCAAAAGTAGCAGCAGATGCATGAGCAGCAGAATTGGCGGGCTTGCTTGAGCTTGTAGTTTCGAACCCTGTGGCTCCAAAGACCCAAGGTTGAGAGGCTGAATCGTGTCTTTTATCTTGCCTTCTGCCCTGAGCTTGTCTAGCAGCTCGACAGGATAGAAACTTCTCACATTGGCTTGCCAAAATTGCAACAACCTCATCCTGCTCGGAGGAACAACTAACATGGACAGTTACTGCAAATAAAAAAATAAAAAAAAGATCAGCAACCTGAAAGGTTGGTAACTAATAATTTCACTTAGTTGACTTAAAAGAAAAATATAGTCATGTAGGAGAGTGTAACATCAGCTTCACCAGCAAAGAAATGGTCACTATGAGCTGCAAAGCCCCCTCTATGAATCAATACACAAGCTGATGTAGCAGCAAGCCGGTCTAGAAACTTGATCGATTTCCTAAACGCTGAGTTGAGCTGGGGCTCAAGATTCACTCATGCCAGCTCGTATAGATAGGCCACTCCCCAAATAGTGGACAAAACAAAAAAAATCCTTACAAGCTGTGAAAACCAACTAAGATTATTGGATGGCACTTGAGTTTACAATATTCTTCTACGAGCTCTTGAGTTTACAATAACCAACCAAGATAATTTGAAAAGTCACTTGGCGAATAAACTCGAAAAAGAGACTGTACTTCATACCTATGATCCTACAGAAAATTCTAAGGGAAAAAATCACCTGGCATTGCAAAAATCGGTGGAATAGAAATGTTATACTAATACTCAAGTAGCTCAACAACTTGCAGATGAAAAAGAAAAACTTAGGGTGACCTAAAGGTATTGAGGTAAGCTACACATCTTCACAAGCACTGTTAGCACTATCATCAAGCATAGCTTGCTTAGGGGTAATACTTTCCCACGAAGGTCAGTGGCGGAGTCAGAATTTTTATTAAGGGGAGTCAAAATATAAAGAAACAAACTCACCAAGAAGTCAAGGGGTGTCATTATATAGTATATATATACATATTTTTAAAAACATTACCGAGCTAAACAGTGTAATTTTCTAACGAGGGGTGTCACATGCGGCTCCGCCACTGACGAAGGCAAATAGACCTCTAGTTTTCCTCAACAATCAGAACCCAAGAAATACAAACGAGAAGTTTGTCATGTCCTATTTTAAGGTTAACCAAATCAAGCGAGAGTAGTCTAAATAGGGGATATTACGTAGACCACATGGGGCAGATACTTTCAAATTCTGAGTCCAGCGGTGGAGTTCAAAGATACTATTCTATGTAGGAAAAAAATCATGTCATCTTGTAACAGCCTGAGAATACACAATTCAGGCAAAAAAAAAAAAAAAAAGATGAAGAGGCATACTTATTGGAAGCCAAGAAAACAGAGACACATACAGGTGATGGAACGCATACAGGTAATGCAGCAAAAGAATGAGTAAAATAAAGCTGAGAACTGCAAAATTGAACATTGAAGCTTACCTTAGCTGATAGAATATGGCAGACTAGAAAAGTAAAAGGCAGAAAAACCAAACATATTGAAGGATAACAGCAAACACACACAAGGAGGGAGCTGGTAGTTGCATGCACAAAGATAGAACTCCCTCAGAACAGCTAAGGGAAATGAAGGATGCAGAATGCATGTGCTCAATGTTTATGAAAAGGCATGTGCAATGAGGAGAGAATTGCGTCACCAAAAAGGAAGCAACGTATCGCTTTATTTGCAAAAAATAAAAAGAAAAGATATGTGACAAATCATAAAAAAGTGAGCAATGCATTAACTCGCTTACTTCCCAACTTGAACATATCCAAGCTCATAGAGTTGGAGAAAATCTGATAGCATAATTGCTCGAGTTAGCTAACTCATATATAAGCCCAACTCAAAGATGGATAATAGGTCATGGATAACAAGCTACCAAATATCAACCAAGACGCAGTCACGCCAAGAGCCAGAGGGAAGGTCAAGCCGAAGGCAGTCCTGAGAATAGGGTGAACATTTTATACGCCAGCCACATCTTAACAACTTGGAAGTTAGGCTTAATGGCCCATAATCCATGACATTGAATCACAGCCACATTACGGCATACCATAACAACCAAAATAAGTGCGCACACAGACGGGCAAGTCGATGAGCAAGCATTGGATGACATTCACTAACTGCAACCAGCAAGAATCAGCACTATTACCTATGATCAATTAGGTGGCAACACGTAGCCTTGGGCGAAAAGCACGGATAACTTTTAATGATCTCTCGTTCCCAATTTATGAGATACTCTTTTCCTTTTCTAATCTGTCCCAAAAAGAATGATACACTTCTATATTTTGAGAAATAATGTAATTTTAAACCTATTATTTTATCCTTAACGAGATGATCTACAAAACAGACACAAATATCTACGAGCTAACCAGCTATTTCGACCAAATCTACTTGATAGCATTAGCACATTCATTAACAGCTCTATTTCAACAAAGGCATAAATGCTTGTGGCAATAACCGCATTAATCAGAGCACGAAATATAGCCAGTAAAAATACCGCCTCTTTTAACAACAGTTTTGTTAAATTAAATTGAATCAAAGAAACAACTAGAAATTTCAATTTCACTTCCTAACCTAGTTCGATTAAATTAATTTCTACTTCCTAAATTGCTTTCATTAAGACGGATTATTGCATTACGAGGCACAGAGCTTAAAAATTAGACATTAAAACGAAACAAAAATGAACAAAACTATACCAGACTCCGTTGCAGAGACTATAACAGAGGTTGTTGTAATGCTTGTTGTAGTCGGTCCTAAAGATGCAGAAATTTCTGTTGATGAGCTGGCATTTGAAAATGAAGAACCATAATACGACGGAGTAGTAGAATCGCAAGTTTTTTCAGATAGTGCACTGACTGTTGATGAAGGTGAAAGCTGTGGAGGAAAAGTACCGGCCGACGGTTGGAGAAATGTATCGCCGGTTTCCGGCGATGGAGAGGTGGATGAAAATCCAAACCTCATTGTGTCTCCGTTACTTGTTTCCCAAGGAAGTGAAAAGGGTGAGTTTAGTAATAGTACTAAGAAAGTGCGAGTGGAGTGGACTGGGAATTGGACGGAAAATGACAAAATTAGTTCCTTATGCAAGAAGATTGGTCTATATATTTTATTTTTTAATTAATGGGAAAATTACACTATATAGCTGCTCACATAATAGCCGAAAAAAATTATTTTTTATATATATACATTATGTATGTTATATACAAAAATTATACAAATTTTATACATTTTTTTCGAATATCGAATGTAAATAGTTTCTGACGCGGGTTAAAAGTAAAAAAAAAATATTTTTCTAATTAATGGTAGTATCGGGCTAGTTTGCGCATCCTCGACTATTTTACATAACATTATCTTTCACCGTCACATGTACCGCATGTTTATGTCCATCAAAGCTTATACAGATACGAAAAAATTGCATAATATTTTTTTTCTTTGGTGATCATATTTGAACCCTAGTATCAATATATTTACTTGAACAATTTTAATTATTTCAACTTATCAAATTGAGTATGTTTGATCTTTGTTATATTTAAAAGACACAACTATAGTTATCTTCAAAACAATTAGCTAGTGAGAAGTGAACCACTTGAATTGGAGAAATTATTGGGACATACTTCTTTCAATTCATTTTCCTTAATTCCTACCTTAAGAATAATGTTACTCAAACTAATTGAGCCCACCATGTGCTTCCTTTACTATTTATTATGTGAAATAAGGAATGAATCAATGTTTATTATCTAAGCTGATAGTTAGATTTTCAAAAAGAATTATTATGACGTATTAAGAGAATATCACCAAAATTATCTGCACAAAGTCAAACTTGAGCACATAAATTGGAAGAGATATAAAAAATTAGAAATTAAGAAAGTAATGATAACAAGGATTTATAGTAGCCTGGTTGGACAAAATGGTATGCACAAATCTTATAAAACGACCCAAAGGCTAGAAGTACATAATTTAACACTTACACGACGTCTAAATAACATAAATAGTATCTATAAGATCCAACTTAATAAACATGTTGCACTGGTCAAAACTCTACGTTTTAAAGTAATATAGACCTCTTTTCTGGTTCACTTCACATGTAAGTCAAGCACACTGCACAGATAAAAATAACACTTTATATACTGCAGAGAACTGATCTTAGCATATTCACTGTTATGAATTTTAGAAAAAATATGCAAGCAGGGGCGGCCCAACCTCATCGAAGGCCTAAAGCAAAATCTTAATAAGAGGCCTTAATATATATATANACCCAAAAACTTCTATGATTTATATAAGATTACAAGTTTCAAAAGCCTTCTTTTATTTCATAAAATCCATGTCCAGGCAAACACTTTCATATAAATTGGGACGGAGAGAGTATAATTTATGTAAGAAAAATAAATAATAAGTTAGATTATTAGATATAGTTACGTGACCAACTAATGAATAGATAAATATAATTAAGTAAAAAAATAAAATAAGATTGATAGAAAACTATTTTAGTGATATTAATTAGAGGAAGAAATCGAGTTATTAAAAATCAATATGACAATAAAAAAATAAATTTATCAATAATAAAAGATAGTTATATAAATAATATACTACTATATATAGAGAAATACTAATAATTTTGGGGCACTTAAATATTTGGGGCCTAAAGCAAGTGTTTCACTTGCTTTAGGGTTGGGCCGCCCCTGGCAGCAAGAAGGTTGAAAATAGGATTGAAAAACTGTCTCTAAAATTTTATTAATCATAGGGCTTTAAATAGCCAAATAAATAAAGTATTAGACTCCTCCTACAACTAAATTATTAAACTCTTACTATAATTAAAATTCCGAATCTTCTAGTAGACTCCTCCTAAAACTAAACAACTAATTATTCTAGAAAACAGTAGAAGTAACAGATGCAAAATCCAACACTCCTCCTTGCTTCTGTTGCTTCAAACTAAAGAAGGTCATCCTCAATTCCTTCTTCTGCTATTAGTGCTTGTGCATGGGCATCTTTGAACTTGCACACTTTTGTAACATGACCTTTTTTGTTTGTAATTTCCACATAATGCATCAGATCTCCACAAACAAAAAATTTCTAAGTGTGTTTTCTTTTTACAATATTTGCAATAAGGATAATCGACTTTTTCTTTTTGGTGTTTCACATAAAAAATACCCTCAGTAACTTTGTCTTGTCTGAAGGCCCTTCTTTGCTCTTGTGCTTGAAGAGCACTTATTAATTCTGCAACAGAGATGGTAGAGAAATCTTTAGACTTTTCCAGAGAGGAAATTTTGGATTCAAATCTCTCGCGAATTGTCACAAGATTTTTTTCAACTATCATGTCATCTTTGAAATCCTCGCCAAGTAAGACAATTAAAGAATTTCGGTCAGAATACTTAGCGATGGTCTCATCATCTTGCATTCTAAGAGATTCAAAATCTCTTTTCAAATTTAAAATCTGATTTTGTCTGCCTCGTTCACTTCCTTGATACTCCTGTTTGAGTGTTTCCCAAGCCTTTTTTGCTGTCTCACATGCAATGATTTTAGAGAAATTGAATCTGCAACTGAATTTTGAATTATAGTTTTGGCTTTGTATTTTTTGGTTTTCTTATCTGAATGAGCTTTGATTTGGGCAAGGGTAGGATTTGCAGGAAGTGGTTGTATAAGTTTGTCTTCCATTACAACTTCCCATAGATCATAAAATTCAAGATAAGATTTCATCTTTACTGACCAAATCTGATAGTTTTCACCAATGAAAGTTTGTGGGGTATTCAAAGACAGACTGCTGCTTGCCATTGTTAAAAATTTGGTTAAAAATTGGTATGGGTAAAAATACGTATGATTTAAAAGTGGTTGAAATTGGTTGTTTTTTAGCGAATTCAGAGATCTGTCAAGATCAATGGAGGCTCTAATACCACTGTTATGGATTTTAGAAAAAATATGCAAGCAACAAGGTTGAAAATATGATTGAAAAACTGTCTCTAAAATTTTATTAATCATAGGGGTTTAAATAGCCAAATAAATAAAGTAGTAGACTCCTCCTACAACTAAATTACTAAACTCTTACTATAATTAAAATTCTGAATCCTCTAGCAGACTCCTCCTAAAACTAAACAACTAATTATTCTAGAAAACAGTAGCAGTAATTGATGCAAAATCCAACAATTCATATATACACTATTAACACCTACAAGTAGAGCAGCAAAACATACTTGTTCATAGAGAGAGTGGCCACATAAGTTGCATTAGCATAAGCAAGCATAGGTAAAATAGAAAGAACTTCAAGCTGAGCTCGGGGGATCTTTTGCCTATTCGGCACTTATGTCAACGACACATCTATGATCAAAGTCTCATAAGCTTGCTCCTTCAGCCAAATCTCGAGCTGTAGCACTTGGCTTCACCTCATTGTGCTCTTGCTCGGCACCACCATCACCTTCCTCCTCAGACAAGAATTCATCGACATAGCTTCTGGAGGAAGCATGTATATCTCCAGGCCATAGGTTTTGGGGTCAAAAGTGGGGTCTTTAGCCTTGATTTTCTCTATGGCTAGCTTCACCCCCTTTCCCATGTAAGGAGCAGCATACTCCATGAGCTCCTGTCTGTACAAGGAGGAAGCTTTGTATTTCCGGATAGCAGCAGGACCGGCCTCCTCCAACTCCTTTTCCAGCTCGACGATCTTCTGGTGAAGGATCGTCTGGACCCTCAAAAGGGATACCTTCTCACCAGTCAGAGCGGTGGTCGTGTTTGCAGCCCCAGCTAACTCATGTTCAAGCCTCTCCTTCTCCTTCTCAGAGTCCTGGAGCTTCCGATTGGCTTCTGCTAACTTATCTTTCAAAGGAGCCATCGCATTTTTCAGGTCATCACTCGCTTTTGCTGCCTCGTTATACTTGGCAGTTGCTACTTGAAGGCGTTCAGACAGAAGACAAAAATAGTTGATGCCCTACAAAAACGGGGGAAGAGGTCAAGAAACAAAAAAGAGAGAAGAAACAGAGGTGCAAGGAGATGCTAACCTCATCAAGAAAGGAAAAAAAAAAAGAAAAAAAACTGACCTCGTAGAAGTGACGAAGCCCCTCTTCAGTGACCTCTTGATCTGTCTTCTTATCTGCGACAACCCGTTCCCACATCCCAATTGTTGAGTGCAGAAGATCGACAGATGAACAGTAAGGCTGCGCCTCAGCAGCCTGAGAGCTGCGGAGCACTGAGCTGCCTGACTTTGAGTCCAATGGAGCTGAACTAGTGGAGGTTGAAGGGGTGATGGTGATAGGAACACTGCACGGCTTGGACTCCCCATATTTCTGTTCAGCAGTAGCAGCAGGTGTATGAGCATCATCATTGACGGGCTTGCTTGAGCTTGGTGTTTCGGACCATGTGGTTCCAGAGACCCTAGGTTGAGCGGCTGAAACGTGCATTTCATTTTGCCCTCTGCCTTGAGTTCGCCTGGCAGCTTGGCAGGACAGAAGCTTCTCACATTGGCTTGCCAAAATTGCAGCAACTTCATTTTGCTCCGGGGAACAACTAGCAGGGTCTATTACTGCAAATAAACAAAAAAAAAAACATGAAATGTTGGAAAGTAATAATGTCACTTAGTTGACTTAAAAAAGAAATGCAGTCATGTAGGAGAGTGTAAACATCAGCTCCACCGGCAAAGAAATGCCTCTGTGTGCGGCAAGGACCTCTCTAATGAATCAACACAAAAGCTGATGTACCAGCAAGGCGAGCTAGGCACTTGATCTTTTTCCTATGGGCTGAGTTGAGCCGGAGCTCACAGAGATAGGCCACTCGCCAAGTAGTACAAAACAAACAAGCTGTTTAAACCAACAAAGATTATTGGAATGGCACTTGAGTTTAAAGAACTTTCTACGAGCTATGATAACCAAGTTAATCCGAAAGGCACTTGGTAAAATAAACAAAAATGACACTGTACTTCATACCCATGATTACGGAAAAAAAAATCAATCTCCTGGAATTGCGAAAATCAGGGGCATAAAAATGTTACAATACTCAAGTAGCTCAACGGCTAGCAGATGAAAAGAAAACCTGAGTTAGACCTAAAAAGAGATAAGATGCACATCACGTTCACAAGCTCTGTTAGCTCTATCGTCAATCAAAGCTTGCTTAGGGGTATACTTGCCCACGTGGGCAAATAGACTCTAATTTCCTAAAAAATCTACATACGAGAAGTTTCTCATGTCCTATTCTAAGGTTAACCAAATAAAACGAGAGTAGACCAAAAGGGGGAAGTAGGCATCTACCAAAGGGGGCAGACACTTCCGAATTCTGAGTCTGGTATGGAGTTCAAAGATAATATTCTATGTGGGAAGAATCATATCATCTTGTATCCGTCTGAGAATACACAAGTCAAGCAAAGAAAAAGATGAATAGGCATACTTGTTGGAAGCCAGGAAAACAGACGCATACAGGTGATGGAACAATAAAAACAGATGTAAAGCAGCAAAGGAATGAGTAAAATAAAGAGAATTGCAAAATACGTCCAGCTACCAAACGTCAACCAAGACCCGGTCACACCAAGGACACGGAAGGTCAAATTGAAGGTAGTTCTGACTTCTGAGAACCTGAATAGGGACCATTTTACACGCCACCGCATCTTAGCGACTTGGCGATTTGCCTAAAAATTGCCCCTACATCATGACATCAAGTCACAGACGGCACAACCATAACAAGCGAAAATGCCAAATAGGTGTGCACATGGACGAGCAAGCACTGGATGACATCACTAACTGCAACCAGCAAGAATCGGAGCCATTACCTATGATCAAATAGATGGCAACACATAACCTTGGGCAAAAGTATGAGTAACTATGAATAGTAGAGACAGAAGCAATAAGTCATAACTCTAAATACACTCTCTATAAGGAACTCCGCTTACATCTCCTGTACTTACTCTCCACCATTAACTCTCCCAAATTCATCTCTACTACTGCCCCCTAAGCTTTTATGGGTTTCTTCTTTGTTACTTGGGTCGACCACTAAGCCATAATGTCTCAAAACGAGGAGGCCATATAAGAACTTTTTTCTATTCTTTTGTTCCGAACTTGGTGAAGAACTCCAATTCTAATTTAGGCATCAAAAAATAACCTTTGAATGGATGGAATCTCATTGAAATCATCTTCTCCCATTTTCCCAGGCAATGAAGCCACCTCGAAGCGACACTCGCGTGGCTCATTCTTTACGACCTACGAGCTAACCAAACCAACACTCCTGCTTCTTTTAACAATAGTGTTGTTGCAGGGAGCGAGATGGACAACATTACTCTGTACATTAATCACATTATTTTGTATTACTTCCTAATTCTCATCATGCAACTCTCTCTCTCTCTCAATGACATCTTCATCATCAGACAGGAACTATATGTCATTGACCATTGGCTGCTCTAATGCCTTGCTCACATGCTCACTCTTACTCATAGCATCTCCATCTTGATCATCTAAACATACCCTCAGGCGGTAGCAGAAGAATCTAAACATTCCAGCAACCATATGCAAAATTTCTTAAATGATTGGAAGAGGAACTTGTAGTCAGTTTAACCTATGGTGCTCGGATCCTCCTAAAATGCCGCAGCACCCCTGTCAGATCCTCCATAAAACGCATTAGTTTTGGATGATCGGAAACACCGGGCGGCATTTTTGAAGGATATGAGCAACATAGGATTTAACCCCAGTTAGGATAAGTTGTCACCTAACATAAATTTGAAAGACACTGTATTTAATCCTTATAGTTCATAAGATGGCTGTACTCCTGTACTATAAATTCAAACATGTAACGGGCACAAAGTATGTTTTGCCCTTTCCTATAAATTACAGCTTCATCTACCCCCAAATATATTTGCCTAAAGTACATCATCGTTTTATTTAATAAGTATATATTTCCTTAAGGTACATCATTTTTTCTATATTGTAAGGAAATATTTCCCGAAACTACATCACTCTGAGCAATTAGAAAACTGTTCACTTCTCTCATAAATAATGCTATGTATAGCAACACTAGAATACAACAACAAAATATGAAGTCACCACCACTGGACATGGACTTATGGTTTAGTGACTGGTTTAAACACCCGGTGCAGATAAGTTTTTACCTGGACTTATTACTGAAATCAATGAAACGGCTAGAAAATTAATTACTCTCTCTTTAATGATTACTCCCTCCGTCCAAGTTTACTTATCCACTATTGACTTGGCACATCCTTTAAGAAACAATAAATAACATGATAACTTTACTATATCACCCTTATTTATTATATGTTGGAAAATGAATTGGAAATAAGTAGTACTTAATAAGAAGGGTAAAATAGGTATAAAGTGGCAAATTATCATTGGTTTTTCAAAATTGGATAAGTAAAAGTGAACATCTATTTTTAATATAGTAGACAAGTAAACTTGGACGGAAGGAATAAAAAAATTAATCCCTCCATCTCAATTTATATGATACTTTTTCCTTTTTAGTCTGTCAAAAAACTACCTTTCTATATTTAGAAAGAGAAAATGCATAAGTACCCCCTGACCTATAGCTGGATTTTCAACTACACACTCTACCTTTGAGGGGTTTTTATTACCCCTGAACTATTTTAAAGTCAAATAAATTCACCCTTAAAGTACCCCAACCAAATTTTCGTTGGTAAGTGAACCACACTTGCTTGACACATCAGATTTCATTAAAAAAAAACCTTTTTTTTCTTTTCCTTTCTCTTTTCTCTTTTGTACTTTTTCGTTATTCTTTTCTTTTTTTCTTAATCTATTCCAAATATTTTCCTTTTTCTTTTTCATTCTCTTTCTTTATCATGTATATAACTGTGAATTCCGACAATTTTTCTTCCCTCCGTCACTAACTATTTTCCGTTTCTTTCTCCGATAAGTTTGTCGGCAAGCGTTTTATCTTTTATTAGTTCGTTTTCTCTTTTGTTTTCTCTTTTCTTACTCTTTTTTGTTAGTAGGGGGAAATAATGGTGTTCCGATAACTTCCTCCAACCTAGACAGTAGAAGATTCGCACAAAACAATTCCTGTCAAAGCAATGCTTTGATAATAGTTGCATCATAATTTTCACTTTAAAGTAATATATTCTCAATATATTCCTTTTATTTGCTTTAGGTTTGTGTGTGATGATATCTAATATGAGTATAAGTGTGTCTACTAGGTTAGGAGAAGACCTTTTCCAATTAAAATATTTCAATACCTCTATTTTTTCCGGTGTGAGAAGGTTTTACGATGATTAATCCCCCCCCCCCCCCAAATATGAGTGTATTTTGCTTTGCTTATGAATAGATCTTTTTGAGAGTTTAATTTGTGTGTGAAAAGGATAGAAAAAGGAAGAAGAAAAACAGAATAAATGGAAGAAGAATGGTTAAACAAAATCGCCGGCAAATGAATATTCGCCGGAATTAGAGAAGAAACGAAAAAAGAAGTAAAAGAAAAAGATAAAGGAAAAGGAAAAGAAAAAAAAAGTAAGAAATTATATATCTCACTAAAAATGCTAAAAAAGCAAAAAGAAAAATCTGAAAATCCTTTTTTCTTCCTTCTCTCCCAAGGAGAGCGAAATACACATAAGCTTTAAGGGTACAAATAATTCTACTTTAAAAACCCGCAAAGTTAGAATGAGTAGTTAGGAATCCGGCTATAGGTCAGGCGATACTTATGCATTTTCCCATTTAGAAATGACTAACTTTATACTTTCTATTTTAACCATAATGAGAGTAATTTCTAGCAGCATAAATATTTATAGCTTGGTCTAGACCACAACTTTTAATTTTTTTCTTTCATAAAATTTGTGTCAAGTCAAACAGCATCATATAAATTGGGACGGAACGAGTAATTAAGATAGAATCACTGTATTACGAGGCACAGAGGTTAAAAATTAGACATTAAAAGTAAAAAACGAACAAAACTTTACCAGACTCCGGTGCAAAGATGGTTGATTGTGCGGCTGTCAATGTAGTATTATTTGAAACCGAAGACGACGAATTAGTCGGAATATCTGTACTCGTAGGCTTTTCTGTTGTGGTGTTTGAAGGAGCAGTGACTGGAGTAGAGGACTCAAAAGGGGAAAGGGAACCAGTAAAAAATGTGTACGTGTTAGTAGAAGTTGCTGGAGTTGAAGGAAAACCCGGCGATGAAGAAGATCCAAACATTGAAGAAGCAGTGGTAGGGTTAAAACTTGAAAAGAAGAAATATGGTGAAGAAGAAGAAGAGGAGGAGGATGAATATGCTCTTCTTCTTCTTGTCGATCGTCTTCTTGTCATTCTAACATTTGACAGGAAAGTGACAAGAATTATTTACTTTTGTGGGAAGATTGGTTTAAAATAGTACTCCCTACTTTTACTTTTATTGTACACTTTATACTTTCACAGTTCAAAAAATAATAAATAAATTACCGTTTTGCCATAAATTCTCAAATTTATTTTGAAAAATTTGATTTTGGTGAAGTTTGAACATCTGTTTTGGGTGAAGTTTGGTTCGAAAAAATATGAAACATGACTTATATCAACAAGTTCTAAAAACTATCACAAATACCCAACAATACCATTATCAATAACATTCATTATATTATCGCAACCATAGTCCTGAACATAAATAAATTTGATACAAAATTATTATTTTTATAATGAACCACATGATACGCTATCAGATGACCGAGAAGACGAAACAATATCGTTAAAAATAATAAATGGTGGGATCTTTTATAAAATACAAAAGTTTGGAGCAATTTTAAAAAAATATAATAGTGATATTTGAGCTGGTTTTGGGATTTGGCCAAAATGTAAGCAAAATCTATGGCCAAACATGTGTTTGCCAAATAAAATTCAAGTTTATTTAGGCAAAATCTATGGCCAAACGGGTCCTTAGTAAATTTGAAAAATAATTGAGAAAACTAACCTCCATAGCCCCTCAAAATTTTAATAGCCCATATTTTTTTCCATTGACTCGAAATGGCCCTTCAGCTCAAACATATTGCATCTAGTAGCCCGAAATGTCTATTTTATTTATTTTTTGTATATTGACAGTCTACGTTATATATTTTTTGTATATTGACAGTCTATTTTGTATATTTTTTGTATAGTATCAGTCTATTTTGTATATATTTTATATAGTGACAGTCTATTGTATATAAACTGTATAACGACAGTCTATTTAGTATATTTTTGTACATTGACAGTCTATTTAGTATATTTTGTTTTCGGTAAAGGGCCAAATATACCCCTCTACTTTCGAAAATAGTCTAAGAATACCCCTCGTTATACTATTGGGTTATCTATACCTCTGAAGTCATACTTTGGGTTCAAATATACCCCTCATTTAAACGGAGGGACACGTGTCATCGTCATGTTAGTCAATTCTAAATATCTCCTAATTAAATAAAAAGATTCATTACCCATACCCGAAAAATAATATTTTTTTTTTTAAAAAACTGAAAAAAAACTAAAATTATTTTTACTAAAAACTGAAAAAAATAAAAATATTTTTTTTCCAGTTTTTACAAAAAAACTGCTTTAGAGAAAACTGAAAAATATTTTCTAAAATAATGTTTTTGTAAATACTGGGGAAAAAAAAGGTGAAAATCAATTTTCTAAAGCAATTTTTTTTTGTAAAAACTGGAAAAAACTGAATTTGTTTTTACTAAAAACTGAAAAAAATGAAAATATATATTTTTTCCAGTTTTTACAAAAAACTGCTTTAAAAAAAGCCAAAAAATATTTTCTGAAATAATATTTTTGTAAAAACTGAAAAAAAAAACTAAAAAGCAATTTTCTAAAGCAATGTTTTTGTAAAAACTGAAAAAACAAATATTTTTTTATTTTATTTTTTAGTTAAAAATATTTCAGTTTTTTTCAGTTTTTAATTGCTTTTCACTTTTTATTTTATAGTTTTTACAAAAATATTGTTTTAGAAAATATTTTTCAGTTTTTTTAAAGCAGTTTTTTTTGTAAAAACTGGAAAAAAAATATTTTCGTTTTTTTCAGTTTTTTAGTAAATTTGTTTTTTAGTTTTTTTCAGTTTTTATAAAAAAAAAATATTTTTCGGGTATGGGTAATAGGTCTTTTTAATTAATTAGGAGATATTTAGAATTGACCAACATGACGATGACACGTGTCCCTCCGTTTAAATGAGGGGTATATTTGAACTCAAATTATGATTGCAGGGGTATAAATAACTCAATAGTATAACGAGGGATATTCTTAAACTATTTTCGAAAATAAAGTGGTATATTTGAACCTCCGACGTTTTGTTTTTTGTATTACTTGAATGGGTAAGTGAGGATATGCATAGCCAAGTGAAGTCAGGACAGAATAAGAGTAAAAGGACACTTTTTTCATTCACAACTTATATAAAGTTAAAAACCGTATCTTTTGACTAACCAAACTTACTGTTTTCTCTTTTCTTTTAACCGTTTATAGTAAGGAAGCCCCTAATCCTTTTGGGCACGTAGTATTAAATCCTATCAATACACCACACGTATGTACCCCAACAACACCTCATTTAACCTCGACGCAATAATGGATACAATTTTGGAACATTTCCATTGGAGACTTCCTTCATCCGCCTTCTTACTAGCCATTTCGTTCTTATTATTCTAAGTATTTACCCAACGAGAAAAACGAGTTTCATCCTCAGAGATTTCTGGGGTTTTACTTTCCCAGATTCTAGGCATTTGACCTTTTATTATCGTTTATATATATATATATATATATACACATACAGACTATCCGTTATTTTTTCAACTTTTGTAATTTCATTCATCCAAAAAAACAAAGGAAGATGGTCCGAGTAAGCAATTTGATAATCACATTCCTTAATTGTGTGACCCTAGCGGTTTCACTTGTAGCCATAGGGTTTTCAATTTGGCTTCATTTTAATGGCAGCTCTACACTTTGCCAAAAGTGTTTCAGAAGCCTTTGTTAATACTGGGAATTTCTCAACTGGTTGTTTCTGTGCTCGGATTTGTTGGGTCTTGTTGCCGAGTCACGTTTTTCCTGTGGATATATTTGTTTTTGCTGTTTTTCCTCATCGTAGGGTTGCTTTGTTTCTCGGTGTTTGCTATTTTGGTCACAAATAAAAACGTGAGCAGGGCTTTGTCTGGGAGAGGTTATATGGAAGTTAAGTTTGGAGATTACTCGCACTGGTTGCAGAAGTATGTGGTTAATGCTGAGAATTGGGAGGAGATTAAGAGTTGTTTGGTTGATACGAAATTCTGTCAATGTTTACCTCCGGCTAACGGTTGTTATTGTTTTTAGGCTATGACTTGTATGGGTCAATTTGTTGCTATCAGATGATATATGTTTGGCCCGATACGTTTGTTGAGGTTTTTTGTTTTTAAGATGAAATAGTCTTAAAATGAAGGTGAATGGGAAATGGAGGGAAAATGAAATTTTTGAGTAAAATTTTAAGTTTCCCCCTCTTGACAATGAGATATTGTCCCATATTGGAAGAGGAAAAGATTTTTGATGGGTATATATATAATTGCTCTTCTTGTAGCTCTTAAAGAGTTAAGAAGAAAGCAAGCATCGCGCCACCGTCGTCGTCGCTCGCTCGGCTCCGGCTTCGGCTTCGGCGCCATGAATGTGCTTGCTCCACCATGGAGGGTGGACGATTGTTCTTCTTCAACACTGGCTGCTATATATATGTGCAACAGTTGTTGAAGAAAGACACACAACGCACAATACACAAGACTGAAATCGCTCAACAGATTTGGCTATACATTGCACTCCTTCCTCTCAGCATTTCCATACGATTTTCTGAGTTTCTACTCCTTCGTTCTGCATTGTTTTTAACTTCAAACAAAGCAACTGTAAGTGTGATTTGCTACCGAACTTTGTGTTCGCTGAAACACTGGGGTTTGAAGTACCGCTACACCAGTGTGTGATTCGTTCTATCCTGGGAGGAAATAATCCATAACCTTGGGTACTAGGAGGGGATTAAATT